GTTCTTCTACAATATATGAAATTGAATATCGGGTTCGTCGTTTGCGCGATCGTTGATGTCTCCAATTAAAGTTAACTTTACATTAATAATTCGCATTCGAAATAAGAAAAAAACTATTAATAATGTATTGATTATTTAATTAACGAAATTTCATTGAAGAAATATTCATGTTCTTCTACAACATATAAAATTGTGGTACTGAATATCGCGGGTTCGTCGTTTGCGCGATCGTTGATATCTCCACGTAGATTTGCTCAATGTTAATATGAACACGATATTAACGTTTCTATTTAATTTAAGAACACATGTAACTTATTTCTTGTAAAATCGATTATGCGATCGTTAAAATCTCCGAGAGAAATTACATTGTAAGGCGGCGCGGCGCACATTACGCACGCTCTTCTGCAACATATCAAATTTTGATTACGCAAGGCGAAGATAATTAACAGCGCACCTCTCGCTGTAAAAAAGTAAAAGAAAAAAACGCAAACGTTGTCATCGCACGACTCTTTTCCAACGAAAAATAAAAAGGGAAGCGGCAGGTCGAAAGTGAAATTGCTTTGGTGGCAGCATATGTACATTTCTTGCATCCGTAATTTATGGTGTTGCTTTGGTGCGCGCTTAGAGGAATGCGTCTTCTCTCTTTCTCTCTATCTATCTATGTGTTTTCTTCAAAGCAAAATCGAACAAATAGAATCTAGTTAAACACAATTACAGAGAAATCCCCCGTGTGACACACAGTGTGTGCGCGGGGTCCACACTTCTCTCCGCAATTCTACGTACGCAACCGCCAATTTCTGTCACGGAGATAAAAAGAAGAAAAAAGGACGAGACAACGACTCCACCCACTCCTTCGGATGTCTATAATTTCGCAGCAACATGTGTGCAATTTCTTCTCAACTTATTGCAGGCTAGGCCGCATCGCTGTAATTGTATTATTGCCAGTCGCATAGAAACCCAAAGCAATGGCATTATCTCCTCTTCGAACCGAAAGAAACTCCCCTACTTCTTCTCCTCCACTGCAGGATTAACAGCGTTCATTCATTCATTCAATCGCCCATTTCCCAGTTTATTATATTTCTCAGGCTGCGAGTTTGCTTGTGACCGCTTTACATAATCCTATTATATTACCGTCAACGTAAACATACGTATTTCTCGAGTGCTTCCCTACACTTAAGTGATTGTTTGATTCTTTCCTATTTTATTAAAAAGCTCCTCCATAATATTATGTCCTTAACAAGAGAGGGTGCAAGACAATTTATTTCGAACATATCAAACTTTAAATACAATTTAATAACAATTTACGTAGGCTTAATTGGCGTTAATTCATTTGTTTCTGAAATAAACAAAAGTTGTTTCTCAATTTGTTAAAGTCTAACGATATTTTACGTCAAATTTCAAAGAAGATCGGTAAGAATGGAGAGGAGAAAATACAAAATTAGTGAAGGAAGGATTCTCTACGGATTTCGACGTCAACTCAAGCCTACGCAAATTCTTCAGGAATGCCAAAATCCATATGGAGTGAATGCATCATCCCTTAAGACCATTTCCAAGTAGTTTAGAAGATTTCAAACTGGACATTTTTCTGTTGAGGTCGAATCTCGTGATGGTCGCCCGAAATCTTCCACCGACGACACAAATGCAGCCCTGGTGAAGGCAAAAATTGACGAAGATCCAAGAATGGCACAGGAAATGGTAGGCGATGAACTGGGTTATAATAAAATTGTTTTTTTTTTGTTTTTTTCCAGCCAACTAACCAAACTTTTGTTAGACCCAAACTGAAAAGTTCTTTTCATTTCACAAAAACTATCTACTGCTAAACGCAAACTTCATGTTGAAATGTTTCTAATAAATAATTTGTAGGTGTACAGTTTTCCTTGTATCGATTTATATTGAATTGATTTAGATCTCTGAACACGAAACACGGCGCTCAATACAAATAATTTCCACTCTATAAAACACCAATAAAGTTCTCCAGTTGTGCAGTTTATAGACGCGCATTAAACTTTAAGGAGTGCATATAAATCAGTGTCGGCTATAATTGAAATTACTCGGAAACAAAAGATTTTTTTATATTGTAAAAAAAAAATGAAGATACGAAGGAAGGAACGGTACGAGTGCAAACACACGTAGTTCAATTAAAGCTCGTTCGGAGGTGCGTTTTAATGGCGCTCGTAAATATTCAGAAAATTGTTTAATTAATATTATCCGGGGTCCGGTCCGGCGTGGGCGAGTGATTTATCGATGGAGCAGCTTTAATTACGTGCAAAAAACAAAAACAAATTTCATTCTCTCTTTCTCTCTCAGTTTCACGAATTTCAATCACCTCTTAGTGCTTCCATCTCTTTCCTTCGACGCGTATTGTCTTCAACATTGACGCATCCCGAAAATACGACTAGAATCACGCCAGCCGTTTTAATTGCAATAATTATATTACGTCCTGGAACAATTCTAATGGAGGGTTACCTGCACAGGCGTGAATTATGCGTATGGGAATGGACGTCTCGTCTCGTCCTTCTTGTACTTGTACTTCTTCAGCTGATGGTGATGGTGCAAAAGGGGGACGAAACTCTTCGGGTTTCTCGGGATTTATGTAACGAAGTCTCCTCGTTAGGAGGCGCGTCCGACACTCCTGATTTACGGTCCGCCATTCTTTGCGCAATTTGCACGCACGATTTACATACCCAATATGCAACCCCTTCTTCAACAACCACACACACAACACACAATACCAACAGCCAATCGTCATCGGTCTTCTTATATTATCACAATCATCGCCATCATGATCATCATCTTCGGGACCCCGGGATGATAATAAATTTAAAATTATGGCCCTCCAAGTCCACTTCTCTTATTCAATTAATAACACTGTTTGTATACGGCACGAATTCAAGACTTCCAAGACTCGAGCGCGCTCGTAAAGTAAAGAAATTATTATCCCACTTTCCAACGTCCACTGTTTTTTTTGTTTTTTTTTGTTTCAAAGAAAACATAAATATTACAGAAGAATTGAACGAATAACATTTATCAATTGCATAATTTCAAAGACGATTCAGTTCTCAATTTCTCAAGATAAATCAATTGAGTCTAATGGAAATCGGATAAAACTAGGAAGCCATTAATAATCTCCGATTTTGATTGACTTCGGTTTATAAACCATCATCTATCTCGATCCGATATGCATTTGCTGGTGCGAATTTCTTGCAGCGATGATCCTAGATACACCACGAAACGGATCTACCCAATCATCATCATCATTGGCAGCAGCAGCAGCAGCAGCGATGACGTCTTAATCGAACGGTCAATCAAAGGATGTTCCGTGGAATCGAAGGACACACGTCGC